AAAACATTCAATTTTCAAATTTTTCAATTTTTATTATTACTATATTATCGTTATATATAGTTAAAACATTTACAATTATTTTCGATTAAATAAATTATCAAATAATGACTTTGCTTTTTGCTCACGATCATTATCATCTAGATTTTCTTTTTCTACATATGTAGATTTTATTTGTTGGTGCTTTTTGATTCTAAGTTCCATTAATTCTGAAGAATTACACCCGATTTCTTTAAGTGCCATACTTGATAACCGCAGCTTTGATTGCTGAAGATCGCTTGTCATATTTTGATGAGTTTTAAGATCCAACTTATTGAAAATGCCTTCTAGCTGCTGTTGATGAATTGTAATATACCAAATCCGATTTTTAATAAAGTCTAATAGTTTGGGTAATTGACTTAACGGCTTTTTTTCTTTAATAAATTCATGAAATTCATCATTAAATATCGGATCATTAAGTGCATCCAACAAACCAAAGTCGTTAAATTCATTATGCTTAATGTCTAATTCAATGAATTTCATATAGCATAACTCTCGTAGTGAAGGTATAGATAGTCTCGGCATTTTTAAAACCACATAAGCAAAGCTTCGTGCAAATTCTCGTCCATATTTTCCACCCAAACGATATACACTTAATGGCAGATGTAGCCAGCAATTCAACCATTTTTGATGAAGATATAATGCCTTCTGAGTAGCATTTTCAATATCTGAGATAAGTTTATTAAATTGATCATCATCTAAAACATTAGTACTTTCTAATAATTCTTTTTCAAAAAAAGAATATGGATCTTCGACAATGTTTTGAAGTTTCATTGTTAAACGTACTACAAAATCAGACATTTGGTGTGCCCTTCTACCGGGAGGCAGATTTAATAATCCAGATGCTTGAGTTGGTAATTGTAATTCACAATCATATCCCGTAAGAAATTTGACCATTGGATTATAAAAATCTTGCCCAAAGCGAACTAAGAATTTAATTTGAATATTAAGAATTGGATCATGGAGCCAATCTTTTAAAAGTTCCCATTTTTTGATATATATTTTAGGTGTGTTATTTCAGGCTTTAAGATGAAATAAAAACCAATTTGTAAACTGTATATGAACATTTCGTCGTTCTAAATATTGTTCAGCACATTTTAACTCATACAACCATCTTGATCGAATTGGTTGTTGATATTTTGTTAATTTGTATTGAAAACGTTCCTCATAAAGTTTATATATATAGTCTGATCGAATCCCCATTGGTTTATCTTTATCAGTCTTGTTATAACCATCATGAAGGTCCCACACTAAATATAATAAATTTGCAGGAAGTTTCTTTTGCGAAAATCCACTAATATTAGGTAGCTTTCCAAAAGCAA